AGTCATAGATGGTCGTCCCTTGTCTTCTGGAGATGTCACTCATGAAACTCATCCTATAAAAATAACAATAGACGGTCATGATAGCTACATAGCTTTTAACATAATTAAATCCCCGTCCAATCCAGTTATTTTAGGTTTATCCTGGCTTGAAAAATATAACCCTCGAATAGATTGGAATTCACGTAAACTTGACTTTTCCCAAAGCATTATTAATAGTTCTACCAACCAAGTAAAAAATTATAAGTCTAGTATAGTAAAACCCATACTGATAGGTGCAAAAGCATTTATACATGCAGCAAAAGAAGGATCAACTTTTGCTATTTATGCTGCACCTATTTCTGAAAACGTAAAGACTTCAATTGGCATTCCAAGTCAATATCAGGAGTATCAAGACGTTTTTGAGAAAAAGAATGCAGATATTCTTCTTGAGCATCACCCATATGATTGTTCAATCGACCTCAAGAAAGGAACTCAGCCACCATTTGGACCAATTTACAGTTTATTGCAAGATGAGATGGCTGAACTCAAGACATATATTGACGAGAATTTAGCGAAGAATTTTATACGCCATTCAAAATCTCCCGCAGGAGCTCCAATTCTATTCGTAAAGAAAAAAGATGGATCTTTACGAATGTGTGTTGATTATCGAGGACTCAACAAGATCACAATCAAGAATAGGTATCCATTACCTTTGATATCAAGACTCCTTGACCAGTTGAATCAAGCTAAGATCTATACAAAAATAGATCTAAGAGGAGCATATAATCTAGTACGGATCAAAGAAGGAGATGAATAGAAGAGTGCGTTTCGAACCAGGTATGGACATTTCGAATATAATGTCATGCCCTTTGGACTCACGAATGCACCAGCTGCTTTTCAACATCTCATGAATGATGTATTTCGTGAATTCTTAGACAATTTTGTCGTTTGCTATCTAGACGATATCCTGATCTATTCTAAGAATGTCGAAGAGCATTAAATACATGTTCGTCAAGTATTACAAAAACTTAGAGATGCAGGATTGTACGCCAAGATGGAAATGTGTGTATTTCACACTACTCAAGTTGACTTTTTAGGATACATCATTTCAAATGATGGTCTCATGATGGATTCTAAGAAAGTCCAAACAATCATAGATTGGAAGATTCCAAGGACGGTAAGAGATGTCCAATGTTTCTTGGGATTTGCCAATTACTATCGGATCTTCATCAAAGATTTCTCACGAGTTGCAGCTCCACTTACACGCTTGACTAGTAAAGATAAATTTCAATGGAATCAAGAAGCGGAAGCAACATTTGAAGCCTTGAAGACATCGTTTGTCTCTACACTAGTCTTATATCGTGTTGACTTCTCCAAGGCATTTTTTATGGAAACAGATGCATCAGATTTTGCCTTGGGTGCAGTTTTATCACAAATGGGAACAGATGACAAACTTCATCCGATAGCTTTTCATTCAAGAAAATTCTCAACAGCCGAGATCAATTATGAGATCCACGATAAAGAACTTCTTGCGATTGTGGATTCCTTTCAAGAATGGCGTCATTATCTAGAAGGCGCTTCTAGTCCAGTCACTGTATATACAGATCACAAGAATCTCAAGTATTTCATGTCAGCACGCGTATTGAATCGTCATCAAGCTCGTTGGAGTATGTCTTTGTCAAGATTCGAATTCATTATCACTTATCGGCCAGGAAAACAACAATGTTTGTCTGATGCCCTATCTAGACGTTCTTATTTTGCACCAAAAGAAGGAGATGCAGCTTTTGAGCAACAAAGAACAGTCCTCTTGAAACCGGAGCAATTTCATCTCCGAGTAATGAAATCAATATTGACTGTTGATTCAACTTTTCTCAAGCAAATCCAGTCCAGTATGTCCTCAGACCCTCTTATTTATGATATCGAGAATAATTCTTCCAAGTCTCATGATCCTTCTAAGTTCGAGTTCAAGAATAATCTATTATATTTTGAAGGACGCCTATATGTTCCAGAAGGAGAAGCACGTTTACGTGTTCTTCAAGCACGTCATGACTTTCCAACAGCATGGCACTTTGGATATAATAAGACTTTGAAACTCATATCAAGAGATTTTTGGTGGCCACAAATGTGGAAGTCAGTCAAAGACTTTGTACAATCATGTGATATTTGTTCAAGATCAAAAATTCCTCGTCATCGACCTTACGGACTTCTTCAGCCATTACCTCTACCAGAACAACCATGGTCTTCTGTTTCTATGGATTTCATCACAGATCTTCCAAGCTCAAGATCTTATGATTCTATATTTGTGATAGTAGATCGTTTCACCAAGATGGCACATTTTGTGCCATGTACAAAATCTATCACAGGTGAAGAAACAGCTAAGCTTTTCATTGATAATATCTATCGCTATCATGGATTACCTAAAGATATCATATCAGATAGAGGAACTCAATTTGTGTCAAGATTTTGGAGGACCCTTTTCAAGATTTTAAAAGTGGACATAAAGCTATCTTCGGCTTTCCATCCTCAAACTGATGGACAAACAGAGCGCGTAAACCAAGTCTTGGAGCAATATTTAAGGTGTGCTATCAACTACCAACAAGATGATTGGACAACCCTTCTGCCATTGGCAGAGTTTGCTTATAATAATACGGTACATTCTTCCACGCAACAAACACCTTTCTTTGCCAATTATGGCTATCATCCACGACTTGATACTTTTGATTTTTCAAAAGTTGATAATCCTGCAGCAGAAGATATGGCAAATCGGTTGTCAGAGTTACATGCAATAATGAAGACGCAATTGAAGGAAGCTCAAGAATGACAAAAGATAAACGCAGATCTATATCGTAAGGAGCAACCACAAATCAACGTGGGTGATAAGGTATAGCTACTTCGTCGCAATATCAAGACTACTCGACCTTGTGACAAGTTGGACTATCGTAGGCTTGGCCCCTTTTCTGTTTCTGAACAGATCAACCCAGTTGCATATCGGTTACATCTACCGGAGTCAATGAAGATCCACCCTGTATTCCACGTGTCTCTTCTTGAACCATATAAGATAGTGGATATACAAGGAAGAAGACAAATGCCACCGCCTCCTATAGAAGTAGATAATAATGAAGAATTTGAGGTGGAAGAGATATTAGACTCAAGGCGGCGCCGAAATAAGCTGGAATATCTTGTTCATTGGCGCGGATATGATATTAGTGAACGCACATGGGAGCCATCCAGGAATCTAGGAAATGCATCAGCTAAAGTCAAAGCTTTTCATCAACGACATCCATCAAAACTAAGATGAAAATCTCTCTTATAAAAGAGACAAGATTGAGGCAAGATAACATTCAATTTCCTATCCTTGTTTGTAACTTCTTTGCATTTGTGACGCTAATTAGATGGAGAGCCAACAACCAGTGGATTCAACTCAAGAACCTTCGTTTGCTGACCTGCCGGACGAGACATTACGATTGTCACAACCTTCAAGATGACGCAATCGAGATGAAGATCTTCAAGAACGACATGTTCTTCCTCGAACAGATGGTGAGATACAATGCATTTGGTATCACGATTTGGGAAGGGACTCTCGATGTTTGGTGATTTTGCTAGAGGTAGGAACAACTCCTGATGGTGTTCCGAATATTCTATTCGAAGGAAGTTACGAAGGCCTCAACAATGATCAAATAACTGGATGGTCTTCCCGCCCTGGTATGGGACACTACCGATGGTTGAGAGGCCCTATCAATCATCTTCGAAGAGAACAGAGATCAGAGTATGTGGCGAATACAATTCGTCGCATCATAGATTTCCTCAACATATGATGACCGCTCCTCGTGGAACTCGTCTCTAGAAGGGGGGGTAATGTCACGGCCATAATCATGTAAGCTAATAATTACATATAGAAATAGGTAGAAGTAAGTAAAAGTAGATAAAAGTAAGTTAATTCTATAATATTTAATATAGAAGCTTCCTAGAAACTTCCTAGACGTTGCTTTGACTTCATAGGTGTCTTTAATTGACTTTTTGGATTAGAAACGTGGTCAACAAGTTGGCCATGTGCCACACATGTTGTTAGGTTGAAGATCAAGCTAACTATGTGGCCCACACGTAGAAAAACTTGCCTTGTAAGTCAAGGCATGTGTCCTACAAAGTCAACACATATTGGAGGTCCTATAGAACGTCGCCACGTAGCCCCTAGTTAGATAGTATATATAGAGACAAGAGTGAAGGCTTCTTCACTCTTGTCAACTCCTTTCTTGCTTCTAGTCCAGGTTCAAGAGTCTTTAGTTTCTTGTCTTGTGGCAATAGCCATTCCAGTTTCCTTTTAATATACCTACTTGTTTATATTTTGACTTATTATATCGAGATAGCCTTTTGGTGTATATTTTCCCTCATCGAGTCTTTGTCTTTGACATAATATTCTAAATTAATATAAGAATCCTTCTTGCAATAGTTACAATTACATTATAATTTTGGTAATGAAAATAACTATTTCAATATATATAAGATTAATTTATCATTCTTAAATAACCAATGCCATCTCTTGCTAAACTTAGTGCAGTGCTATTATCTATAATAGAATAAGTTGTAATGTGTACAATATTATAGAAAGAAATAAAAAAAAAATTATTTTTCATACAGCCAATCTTACACCCCAAAGTCTTGGATTCAAATTGATAAAACCTTTAAACTAAAACTTATTAGAATTCATTTTAAAAACCTCAAAGTTTATAAAAAGATATAACAATATAGACAACCATAGGCCTAGAATGACAAAGAAGGTACCGTAACAACTAAGAGACAAGCAATGAAACGATATTCTAAGAATTCATTCAATAACATAGTTTAATAAGGTTATATTTTAGTTTGATACTCAATTTTCAACCAAACTAAAAACGCAAGACTAATCAGACATCAGACAGACTCACATCCGCGGCGATGGGTAGAGTGCCCTTTGCCGGGATGACAAGCTCCGGTGTTCTGAGCCATCGCTAAAACCCTAGACCCCTCCGGCCGTCGCCATAGCTGTGCTGCTCCTTCGCCCATTCTCGCAATTCCAATTCCAATTCCTCCTCACTCTCTGGCAGGAATGGCGATGTCTATGGCCAATGCCTCTCGCCCTTTGCTGAGTGTAGCGGGAGTTGCTGCGCGCACCTCCGGCGCCACTACTTCTTCTGCGAGATTGAGCTTCGCGGGAGCTCTTTCCCGCGATTGCCAAAAGCTTGTTCGCCAACCTCCTGCGCAACGCCGAGTTTTTACCCGTTTCTCTGCCCGGAACTCCTCTGACATTGCAAGTAAGTATTGCAATGCAGTGGTTTGCAGTGGTATTGTCATTTGTTTCGTGGTTTAGCTTGACTTCTTGTTTGTGAAAGATTTTAGCTGTGTACTTTTCGGCTTGAGGGTTTAGAATGTTGTTCCGTTGCTCCCGTGGCATGTTAGTTGGATGATTTCAGCTGTAGTTTTTTCTCAATGTGTTTGTTTCATGAGCTAGTGAGGGCTTTTGCGCTCGCAGCTGTGCAGAAAGAGGCTGTGGTGACGAATAAGGCACCAGCAGCTCTGGGACCCTACTCACAAGCTATTAAATCTGGAAACCTTGTATTTTGCTCCGGGGTTCTGGGTTTGGTGCCTGAGGTGTGCTACTCTCTTTACCATTCGCGCTGCTCGCCTACTTATAGCGTTAGATACTGTAGAATTGCTGAAGAATACTTTGTTCTCTTCAGGGCTTGAGATTCCCTTCTCTTTAGAAACAAAGGGCGTAATACTACAACCTATGAATCTTGTATGTAACACATGGATCTCGTTTGAGTGGATCAGAGTTATTTACACTTGATGTTTTGCGCATTTGTCAGTTTTGACTGCAACACTGACTTTCATGGGTTTTGTCCATCGAATTGAAGACGGGAAATTTTGTTTCGGAAGATGTGGAAGGTCAAACAGAGCAGGTACACTTCGTTCAGATCCTCTATTTGCTTGATTAAATTATATTCATCCACAATTCCTATAGGTATGACAAAGAAAATGAAAATGAATGTCCGAAGAAGATCAATTACAATGGTCCCCTTCCCCACATCACGATCCTTTCGACTTCTTCTGCAGATAATGAAGAACATGGGTGAAATTTTGAAAGCAGCTGGTGCAAGCTATGAGTCTGTCGTCAAAACCACCATCATGTAGGCCTATTCCTTCTCATCTTCCTTGTCTTTCTGTTTTTTCGTTCTCCCTTCCTTTATTCCTTTTCTCTTTCCTTTCTTGTTTTTTGTTGTTGTTGGTGGTACCCTGCTTCTTAACTGAGGTTTTTGTATGCTCTCAACATATCTAGGTTATCCTAAGATGAAAAGAATCTAGTGTACGTCTGTAGTAGGCATATTGTGGAGTATTTAGTAGTGTTGCTTATGTCAAGGAATTCAGCTAAAGCTTTGTGCTCATGCCTAAAAGTGGAGTGTCTGCAACTGAGAAATGTAGTGCTGGAACCACCCGTGAAGCACACTTTTCGTTGGAATATGGAAGAGTGTGAGTTGCTTAATGATTTATCTCTTTATCTTTGAAATCTTCAGGCTGGCGGATCTCGCAGACTTCAAGGCGGTGAATAAAATATATGGAAAATGTAAGTTCCATGCCCAAATCACCTTTCGTGTGTTTTTAATTTTTGACACTTGGATATCTTTCAGAATTGTAAGAGCGGTGCCCTAGTTTACATCAAGGTTAATTTCAGTATTTCAGAGTGTATCGTTCCCTCCCTGCTCCTGGCACTGTCTTTAAGTTGATCATACATTCTTCATTAAGTTTGTCCTTTTGTGAAATCTACTATGCATACATAGACTGTGTTTTCACTCCGTAGGACGTACTGTTTTCTTTCATTGTTCATGAAAATTCGATGTGCTAACATTTCATGAATGGTTTGATTTGTAGATTTTCCCGGAACTGCCCCAGCACGGTCAACTTATCAAGTTGCTGCCCTTCCTCTGAATGCACGAATTGAAATAGAGTGCATTGCCACGCTCGAATGAGTGGTTAGGGATTCCCTCGGCTATTGAAGGCGCTTCGTGTCATCCACAATGCTCATACACTGCATTAGTGTCGCAATATGCGTAATCCATCGCTGCTTGTAACGTGAAGAATGCGTACTCTACACATTCGACACCTCCAAGTACTTGAACAGGGGTGTAGTATTAGATGCGAATAGCTTTTGTGTTGATGTGCAAGACTCTATACACCATGTGCGCATAATCAATCAAAGCCGAAAATGCTGAGTTGTTATGTTAATTGACTATCCTGTGATTCTATAATAGATGATTTTGTTAGTGATGTTTCACTGTGCAGTTTTGTACCTATTTTCATTTGTGCAATTTCTCGCACCTATGATCATTGTGGAAGCATCATTCTAAGCTTTGTACTGAGCTTTCTTTTTCCCCAATAACAGCACAACACGTATTTCTGGTTGATGTTGAGTTCGTGTGGTTCAAAGAGCAAGATATGATCAGCCTGATGCTTGCACATTCAAGGTTTATTTTGATATTCATTAACACCGCTGACATAATAATGTTATCAAATTTTGTATGGCAGGGAAAATGAAAGATCTCACGAAAGTATTTGTGTGCTTATGAGCATCCACGCACACATAAGCATCGAATTCTAGTACCCATTTTGTTAAAAGAATTTTAAAAGGACTGGCTCCTCACAAAATATCAAGATATATGTGGTAACAAAAAGCTGCAGGTACTCCCTCTCCGTATTCTATCCACATGTATATCGCTTCCAGATTCAGAAATTGCATGCTCAAGTTTATTTTTAGTTGTATTGTATATAAAATAGCTTAACAAAGACCAGAGTGCAGGTGGTAGAATTGGGAAAGAAATAAAATAGCTACTTCATTCACTCATTACTTGGTGAACAACATTGTCCGAAATTGTGTTCCATGTCCCTTCAGTGTAGAAAGTTCTTTCTTTCACTTGTGTCAATGGATGGGGACTTTTGGGCTGGGAGCAAAATTTTGCATTCATATAGTTGCAATTGTTAGACCCAGAAGGATGCGTACTGTCAAGATATTAATAGTTGCTGCAACACACTTGAAATATTTCAATTATTAAGATGGAATGTAGTTTGTATATATTGCATTCTTGCAAGTGCACCAATTTTCTTCAAAGAAAAAAGATAGATTTTTTGTAAATATGTATAATATTATGTATAATATTATGTATACAAAGAAAATATTAGATTTTTTTGTAAATATGAATATGCCTTCTTTGTATAAATTAATGTTAACAGGGCCATCTTTGGAATACTGTGGTGTTTGTTTACTCATAATCAATCCAACAATTATCTAATCCATCCACTTACCTACTGTTTAATGACATATATGTCTAAAACCTAGTATGAGTATGACCTCCTTATTTTGGATCATTCAAAAATTTGAAAAAAAAAAAGTAGGTTTATTCACAATTTTTGTTGTAACTATAGCTATAATATAAAATGTTAATTTATATTTCTCTTCTTAATCATATATTATTTCTAATCGAATAAAGAATATTTTCTAAGGAATGATTGCTTCTTGAATGAAAGATTGTTAGTCTAGAATATTTTTGATTTGTATACTAGTTTGTAATGTTTTTGAAAAAAAGTAAAAAACAAAAATTAAAAAAATCTAATGAATGAATGCCCTTGAACAATATTATTTTATAATATTTTTTTGCTACTTCCATTGCAACTAATTAGCTTTTCAATTGATTTTTTAAAAAAAATTAAAAAAAAATAAAAAACAAATTATCAAATGGGTGGTGGATTGTGGCAACAACATCAAAAACTATGATGTTATGTGATGAATAGAAAATTGTGGTGACATTAACATTATCATATGTGTGTGTGTGTATATATATATATCATGTGATATTTTGGTTGCAATGTAAATTTCAAACAACTTCTCTGAGGATTTCATGATGTGAAATTCAATGTCAATATAATTATAAACAGAATGCACTACTTTACTATTTGAGTGAGAATTAAAGTATTGCAAGTGTACAAAGTTTGGCTCTGAGAACTTGAAATTAAGGACTTGGATATACAAAGAATTATGATTATTGTTATTAGGCACATTGGCTGCCTAGTCTGTTGATGCTCCAAGTGCATTGTAAAAACGCATTGAATCTGACATTATCCATTGTAATGTAAAATGCATATATATGTAAAAGACATAAAAATAATCACAAAATACAAAAACATAAAAATAAAAGTTCTCAGCTGTATGTTTGTCTTCGTGAGTTTGAAGGATACATTATTGTATGAATTCAATTCATATGGTGTTTGGATTTTGTATGTCTGTATGTATATCTTTATTTATATATATACACACAAGATGCTTATCTGTTTTACATTGAAATTGTGTTTCAAGCTGTGTTTGAAATTACTTGTAACATCTCACACCATTGTCTGCCCAAAAATCAGGGTAGTAGTTTAAATTCTATATACAGAATCATTATCTATGTGATGCAACACACAATCTTACTCTATATGTGTTATTATATATGTAAGGTATTGCTAATGTTACTACGTTTTTTGCTACTTTTTTGGATGCTGCTACCACAACTCATCAATATGTATTTTTAGTTTTTTAATTTAATAAAAAAATTGTTTATATTTTCAATAGAAATATATATACACACATGACTAAAATAAAATAATTTTTGTAAAAATATAAAAATAATATTTAGTTATTTTTATTTTTTGAAGTTTTTATTGAGTTGTGGTAGTAATAGCAAAAATTGTGGTGGCATTAGCAATACTCTATGTAGGTATAGCTAGTTTGAACACCTTTGAACTTTATTGTTGCTTGAAATCTAATAAAGTATTTGGTATTCCTGATTAAATAGAGTATATATATATATATATATATATATATATATTTTAAGAATATTTTAGGTATCATAGAGCAGTCTATTTCTATTTTACCCTTTACAGACTTATAAGGAGTTATTTTGCTTTGGGATGTTTTAATGTATGTAAATATGTATGTATATATACACATGGTTTGTTTTACAACTTATAGTCTGTTGATATGATTTTTATGAAATGAAAAAAAAAACAAAACAAAACAAGCAAACAAAAAAGAAATAAAACAAATAAAAATTTCAAAGTTAATTGGGATTGTATAATAATAAACACCATTGTATATTTTTACATGTTGAGTTGTTTTGATTTAAAATAATAAATACTTTATAATTATGGCTTGTGCAGATTCTATTTGAGCATGTGTGCATGTGTTTATATCTTTTTATACATTCACACACTGTAATTTGGCCACTTTCACAGAAAGCGATTAATATCATCATCTGAATAAGTTTTACACCATACATTCATAGAAGCTCTTACAACTTATAATTACAATCAAAATACTATTGTGCATAGATTCCTTCTATTACTACTTTCAACAAGTTACATCTACTATTATTACTATTTTAAAATGATTTTTCTTTGATGAAGTTGTAGAAACTTAACTCAATGTTTAGTAATGTAGCACCTGCTAGACCAATGAAATTGATTCATGAATTCCCAACACAAACCTCTCATCTGAAAAACCAACTTTTCAATGAATGAATGTAGGTACATTTATGTGTGTGTGTACATATACATTTGTTTTACTCAAATTTAGTTTTAATTATATTTTTCAAGTTTTCACACATCTTACTATGATCATTGAACACATATCAATAATAAATAACAGTCAACATATGCAAAAACCAGTCCATAGAAAAAACCAAATCAATGTGGAGAAAAAATACTGAACTTCAACTCCATCAGAAATGCACAAAAGAGATTGTACATATATACATACATACATACATGTGTGTGTAAAACCACTGTCAATCTTGTGCAGAAGTTTATGATTTTTGAATAAAAAATAGAAGTTTCTATGGACATTTGTAATTTAAAATTATTAATGGGCTGGTAAAAATACGTTGGTAAACATGTTTTTTTGAAGTATCTCATTTTTAGATCTGAATATGACATGTCTTTCTGAACCTACACAACATAAAAAACCATCATTTGTCCAATTGATTAATAAACAACTTAAAAGACATATCAACTATTCCATGTATAATATAGATAGAAAAATTTGGCAAATATTATCTGGTAAAGCTTAGACTTCATTAACTCAAAATTTAATTTAGAAATTATTTCTCTTAGCAAATGTTTTTTTAGAAAATAAGGTAATCTCATGGATACTTATACTACCTAAATAAGTAGAACTCCATAGAAATACAAAGAAATAAATTAAATTTATAATATATATTATAAAAAATATTAATAATCTTTTTGAATACAAGTTGGATATATAGGTGCACCATGTGGTTGCAAGAGTATTATATATATTTAAAAACATACTGAAAAGTATTTTAAATATTTTAAATATTTTTTAAAAGTACCTAATATTTTTATGATTTGATTGAGTTTTTTCTTATTAGATTATTAGAAAGTAGACACAAGATCAAGGCATAGAAGTTTAGACAACAATATGTGGATGTATGTATAGGAGTAAGACTAGACATTTCCACTATTAGTACAAGTTTACAAAATCTTTTGTGAGAGTAGAATTACAATACTTGATATAAGACAAAATTTAAGAAGAAATTCTTGAAGGTTTGAAGTGGAATTTAGAAAGGTGATGATAGATACAGGTACAAATTATGACATTTTATTACATCCATCTCTATCAATAACATTTTTTTTTTCTTGGAAGGTTTTTATGCTTATTACAAGTGGAGAATTTACAATCATCCAATATTGCATGTATATGCATTTGATGTTTTTTATTTTATTCCAAATGTTGTGCTATAATAGTAAAAATTTGCAAGTATATAATATTTTTTTAAATGATATGTAGAGAAAAGAAGTCCATCTTAAATGGTTATAAAGTCATCTCAAAAGATTGATATTATAATAGATGCCATAAGGTAACAGAATACGAACAATGAAGTATTTGCTTAAACTGACAAGTTTAGAAATACCAAAATATTTAATTTGAATAGAAGATCATCACCGTATGGAGGGTTGTATTAAAATTTTATTTTATTTTATATTGAATTTCTCTGAAAAAACACAATCCAGTATATTAATATGATACATAAAGAATTTTAGTTATACTTTAATCACATAGATAGTTTGATGTTTAGATTTCACCCTCACATGGATAATCAGATACATTTTTTCTAAATGTAAAATTTGGTTTCATTTTGCATTTGTCCACTCAACAATGAATTGTTTTTATACTCTACCACACAATCTACAACTCAATCACATGGCTTATGGTAAGTGATGACGTTAATGATTGGGACAGTTATCCAGTATGATAATTAAATATAAATTCCAATCTGAATTGCTGTGGAAAATAACACGTTTCCATTAATTATAAACTAGTGCTTAAATCTAAACCTTTTACTTCGTATCAGAAAATTAAGAATTCTACGGGAAATTGATATCAGTGTGCTTCCAAAACAGCATGTATGATTCGAGGAATATTCAGTATATGAACTGAGGAAACTTATCGAAGCATTTTTCAAACCAAGTCCATTAATGATCAGTGTAGCGCTGTTCTCAAAATTGAACCACTTGTCAATTTGTTCACACCGTAAAACTTACACTGATAAGGATCGATCAGTGACGAGTTTAATGAAATCCTTGTAGGCAATGTGCACATTCATCTAAGATGGGGAAATTGCTACAAGTATTCAAAGTGACAACATATTTCAGAAGTGAGTTTCATGGACGCACACCAAACACTGGTCATCTGTTTCGAATTTCGGTTGTTCTGATGATGATCATTGCACAGTCTGTACTCACCCAAAAACTCGCAGTGATAGAAGATCATCTCCATACTTGCGAAAATCCACGTGAAAGAATGAAAAGCTTTCCCAATCTTGGGACGCTGGCAAGAAACACACTTCAAAACCACTCAAGAAATCCAACAAAACTACGACGAAGTCCCACACGTGGGAATAAAAAGTGTCTGCTTCAAAAAGGGACAGGAAACATACTTTACATCCTATTGCCCAGGCGACACTGTTCAGATGAAACTTCAAAATATGATACATACCACCGAACAAATAAAAGTCAGGCAGACGATGACTACCGTGACTTTTGTACCCACTCTAGTAACAAACCCTAACCCAATTATGTACACGCAAATAAGGAAAGACCTGATCAGAACAGGCACGACAAGTCACAGGCAAACTAAGCCCACGCTAGCAGCAGCATAGAAAATCCGGGGGATGTCAACAACATACCACTGAGCTAGCACACTGAGCCGTTTTCAGGTAAACGCATTAATCGAAAACCGAGTCTCATGGCATTCATGATTTTTCTTTGTGGCCAGGAATTGCAACTAAAAGATAAGCGAGTGTCAACGAAACTGTCGAATGACAAAAGCGTAAGAGATTCTTCTAAGCCTTGTCGACCTTCGATGCGGCGGTGGCAGCTTGACCACGCAGACGTCCCGTGCGCCTGGCTGCAATAAGACCAACCTTCTGCCCGGGAGGAGCGTCCCGACGCACTGTACTCGCGTGACCAATATGTTGGTGATTACCTCCTCCGTGAGGATGCTCCACAGGGTTCATGGCCACACCTCTCACCTTCGGCCAGCTGTTCCTCTTCACCTTATACTTATGGTAGGCATTTCCAGCCTTCAACATTGGTTTCTCGGTCCTGCCTCCTCCGGCAACCTGTCCAACCATGGCCCTGCATCCGCTGGGCACAACCTTCTTCGCACCTGACGGCAATTTGATACTGCATGCACAAAATTCAACGTCAAACCCTAATTCTCCGCATCATTCCATTCCCACCCGTAACCCTCATTCAGTTCCCATTCTGACATAACCACCATCCACACCCTCACAAATTCCAATCACACGACACAAAAAACAACCCACCCACTAATTGCACCCGACACTTACCGAGTAGTTCCGCTGTCCACGTTGTGCGACACCACAATGGCGTAGTCACCAGACGCTCTCGCGAACGCACCCCGATCACCCATGCGATGCTCCACATTGCACACCACGGCTCCCTCGGGCACAGACCTCAGGGGCAGCACATTTCCAATAGACAAGGTCGCCTTCTTGCCACAGTAAACGAATTGACCAGAGTACATGCCCTCAGCAGCAATAAACCTCTCCTTCTGCCTTTTGAAGCGGAAAGGGTGACGGAAGGTGACCTTGCACAACGGAGCACCGCGGCCGGAGTCGTGAACGACCTCGGAGACAACACCCTTGATGTAGCCATTGCGCTCAGCGTAGTCGAGGGAGCGGAACTGAGCGGGGCCTTTGCGACGGTGGGTGTGGCTCCGGAAGATGGAGCCAGCTCCCTTACGTTGAGCACGAATGACACGACCCATGGCTATTGTAGCGAAGCCCCCTTCGCTGCAACTCTAGCTCGGTGGCGGGGCAACGGGCGAGAGCACACATACGCACTGGGACTGTTGGAGGGACTGGATTTGGGAGCCCTCGCTTCCCTAAACCCGGCCCCTTGCTCCGATCAGAATACAGGATTCATCCACTGGATTCCTCGTTCGTTGAGGAGTATATTCAAGAGTGGGATGCCTCTCAGTTTGTCGTGATAAAGATGGGTCTTCATGGATGCAGACTGCGTTTACATTTCGACAAAAACCATTGTTAGGAAATGTGGTACCTTGCAATGTTGAGTTTGAATTTATTTAGTCATGAGTCACGGCGGGCTTTTGAGTTCATTTCGCTACCTCAACTCTTGGAGTTAGCAGAAGATCACGGAGAAATCGCTCAGTCGTGCCAAGACGCCGAGGAGCTACAACGAAGTAGAGAGATATCTCCCGCTTTTTTGCTCCTGCAACAAGAAATTTTTGGGTTAGTGCAATTTTTTGAGGAAGGTTGAATTTCATCGTATGGTGTGAGTGTGTGAGTATAAGACATAGCGTTGGCAGTTGCTGCTAGGTAGTGTTTTATGTGTTGCTTCTAACTGATCAGCAGATCGCTGATTGATTGCTGGCATGGATCGCGTCGGGTTGTTTATGGTTAGTTCCTGTGGAATTTAGATGCCTAATGTGGTTGGTGTCTGCTCATGCAGGAAGGAGATGACGGGGAGAAAGGTGGCGGCCTTCTGAGTAAGCTCAAGGTAAGTTTTGCACCAGTCGCAATGGGACTTTCTGGACTTGCTCTTAATGGCCATGTACTGAAATCTTTAGCACTGCACTAAGTTTCGACAGACAAGTGGACACATTTCTAGCTCTTTAGATTTGAGTACTATATACTTAAGAAAATTACATCTGAACTGTGGATTAATTTTTTGCAGCCTGGCGGTGGGAGCTCATCCAGCTCCAGCTCCTCCTCGGATAAGGAGACGGAGGGAGCGCGCGAGAGGAACATTCTTCGTCGCCAGAGGCGTGCACAGCGCCAACAGCGCAAGGTAGGCCTTAGTGGAACTGCCGGAACCACTGGAGTGGCTCCAGAAATGATCGACACTACTGTTGCACCTGTCGGATATGAGAAGAAGCAAGGATTCTTTTGAAGAGATGCTGAAACATTGTTGGAACGTATTCATAGTGGACTGAAGTAGGCACCAGAAATTAAACAGTGTGTAGGACAATGGCATTGTCATTATTCCCGTACATTGTCGACTGAACTGGTTACGTAGCAAGTGATGCTCACGATGTGGTCGGAGTAGAATTCCTTGGAGTGATCATGTAAATTGAAGTACATTATAATGGTAAAGATCACGGGCTTGCTGAGGCGAAACTGACGCTCTCGCTTTGGCTCTTGCAATCTCAGCTCATGCAATCTCAGGAGTGTCAAATTCTTCTGCGTGTGGGAAACCGCTCTTCTTGTTGAGCCCAACAATTTGATTGAATGAATGGTTCCCGGTCAGTGGAATATCTTTGGTCGTGGGCAAAAAGTGCACGTTAACCAGTTCCATTTTTCAAACATTGAATCTGCTTTAACTCCTAAATAGTAAGGCATCGGAGCAATGTATAGCATCCGCGTGGTTAGACGATGTCTCCACAGTGAAGTGCCCTGGCTAAGGGAGAATACCCATTGCTGTCATCTTCCACAATTCAAAGATACCATCACTTTTCACATTTCATTTCTTGTTGATTCTCAGTGGATTTATCCTGACAGAAAATATATTATTGTTATGGAAGAAGTATTTCATTGTTCTGCATTTATCCCTAACGTTGTCTTTCCACACTGATGGCCATGGCTACAAGTTTTTTTTGTTGCAAAGTCGTGGAATGCTAAAACTGTATTGACTGAAGGTAATGGTTTATGAACTGAGTGGTGCCAGAGCGTATAAAATTCAGTCTCAACGTCGATGGGTGGTTTGAGTGTGCTTAATGTTGCGTTGAAGCAGCGGTAGAATAGGACAATCTGAACAGTAAAAAGTTCAAGTAACAAAGAATGTCCATGTGTTTACATTCATTTAGAGACATATACCTTCTCGGATCTTTGCTTTAATGTTGCGTGAAGTAACAAATGCTTGAAAGCGTGCAACGATAGATAATGTCACCTGATGTACATCAAAATGTTCACACAATTGCAAGAACATAACCTCATGTAACGTTGTGGGCTCATCTTGGTGGCAACTCTTTACTCATGGGTGGTCCGAGTGGGCCTTGAGAACGACTTGTCATAAATTCTTCGTCTGATGTCCAATATGAGTTGTTTGGGATAAAACTTCTGCTTCTGTTAAGAGGCCATCGTTCCGAGGCTCTCTTAGAGAAGAGTGACGAGTCGCTGTTACTCAGGTGCTTTGGAGATTCTGGTGGGACAGACCAAAATCGAAGGCCTTTGCATTCGAATTCTGGTCCAGCGGTATGTTATTCGTCTTGATACTGCAAAGGAAGATAAAGAGATTTTCCTCGGTGTGAAGGTAGAGGATAGCCTTGGCAGTCCCCAGCGCAATTCGTATTCTTGATCCGTAGTCAAAATTCACAATAGCTGCAATGGTATTTTGAACACTCCACATTTAGTATGTTGCAACCCAATGACAATTCGAAGACTTTGAAACTTAAAGGAACCACAAATTTCAGGGAAGTAAACCTTACGTTTCAGGTGGTCTCGCAGATTTCCCCTTGGCAAAAATTTGTAGATCAACATTTGCAGCCAGAAATTCCAGCGTGAGCCTGAAACGTTTATAAAGCGCTCTGAAAAAATCGCACTGAAGAGTAAAACAATGTTTCCGTACCTGTTCTCCTTGGTCATTACAGAAGCCAATTAGAGATACGAGATTCTTATGGTGCAGACGCGATAGGATCTCAATTTCAGTGTAAGATTGCTCTGAACCCTGGAGAAAGCCTCCACTGGCTCGCCCCACGGCGACCGCCATTCCATCCGGAAGAATGCCTTTGTACACATGGCCACAGCCGCCTCGCCGAAGCACGCGGTCAACTTGGAAGTTATTTGTTGCCTGCTTAGTTTCCTAAAAAGTGAATGCTTTCACTCCGGCAAGCTTCAGACCCGGTGGCATCATTGCTAGACTTCTCTCGACTGCACTCGATGAGACAATCTAAGAATCAGCTTCATGAATCTCATACTTCTTTGAGAAGAATCATGGATATTTTCCGTACGTTTCAAGCACGGGCCTCTCGAGAAAATTGCATTTTTGCACACCCCGCCGAATCGCCGCTGGCAAGGTCTCCTACCGTTCGGTTACCCTGCTCGAAGCGGTACTTCAGTTTGTACTTATCCGCGATGTTTGTGGCCTCGCATATATGATTTCCAGCGATTCTGTCAGGTATAAATCGATCAATCATGACACAAAACCGTGTCAGACCTACTTACAACAAGGTGTGTCAAACATTGTAAGCTCGAAATCAATGTCATGAGGCATCCGACTCACGATGTTTTGCTTCAGGCGAAGATAGTTTTTGTCAGAGAATTGTTAGCAAGTCACACACTTGAGCGTTAAGTTCTCGTTTACTTCACCAGCCTCAAGTATCTCCAAGTCTATGCCAATGAGCGAGTTGTTGCGAAGATCTCTCTGCAAGCAAAGTTTGTGGATCAATACTCTAATGCGGAGTTAACAGTATATTTTAGGGTATCTATGTTGAAGCAACATGTGAAGCCCTTTGGTTACAAATGGACCTTTGAACTTACACAAGAGTCTACTGGCTTCTGAGTAGAATACTGTGATTGATTGTATGCATGTGTATGTATTTATCATTAACTTCTTGGTACATTTATTATATTGACCCACTCTCAGTTCTTAGAACATTCTAATTGATTAATTAATTTTAAACTTAAAAAATTGGAGAAAAAATAAATAAATACGAATACACAGTCTATTAGTTTTGGCAAGAGAAGAATGCACATGAATTCACCTTACAGTCTTTAATGCGTGATAAGGTTTATATCAGAACTATAAATCTACTTAATAACATTGGAATAAAAAAATAAAAATAAAAATAAAAAACTTGATTTCAATTAAAGTATATAATAAATGTACTATTCATACTTCAAATTGGTTGACCTCAACTTAAATTAGGATATTTTTTGGTAAATATTATGTTTCTAGATTTTTTATAAAAAAGAAAAGAAAAGAAAAAAGAATTTAATTATTTCATTGTCAGATATAAATTATATATTAAAAAATATTAATCTTATTCTAAAAGATACAAATCTTTATGATAATTATATTACTTATATGTTTTGTTTTATTAAAATAAAAAATAAAAATATTTATACGTAAATATACATTTAAAATAATATCATAATATGTACAAGTATATGTATTTTTAAGATCATTCATTACATATTCCTAAAAAAACCATAGAGATTGCAAAATACATAAAAAAGAAAAGAAAAAAAAAAGAAAAGAAAACTCATACAGAAAGAAACACCAAAAAGAGAAAAATAAAAAGGTAAATCATCACAATAATAAAAATAATAGATAGGTTATGCTCACAAACATCTACAAAGAATCATCTTGTAAATACAAATCACCCAAACGAAACGCTCATTGGATTGCAACTACATCAACATTCAAAGGATGAAGGCACGATGAAAGCTACGGATGAAAGTATCAAACGCAGCTGACGTGGCGGTCCACGGCCACGGACACCGCAGCAACAGGCGACCCATGCGCAGTTGTCTTATCCAGGTCTATCCACGCACGGGTTTCAAAGACCGCGAAGGGGAGCGGGGGAGGGCATGTGTGGCCAGTCGGGGGCGTGTCTATCCAGAGCCAGGGGCATCGCGAGTCCGCTCTCTTTACCCCGTTGCGGTGTGGTAGCAGCGACGACGACGACGACCACAGCGATCGAGAGAGAGAGAGCGCGAGAGAGACACCTCGCGAATCCCATCGAAGAAGCTCCGCACGGGGAACGCACATCTCCTGCCCCGTCATGGCCATGGCTGTGACCTCCGCGTTCTCCATGGCGGCTTTGAACGCCGCCCTGCCTTCCGGGGTCTCCTCCCAGTCCAGGAGCGCTGGCGTTTCTTTGCACGCAGCAACTGGGGTGAGCGTCAGGCGGACCGCATCCGTGGTGGTGCGCTCGATGCTGACGTCGACTAAGGCTGCTGGATTTCAGGTCTTCAATGGCCTCAGGAACGAGAATGCGCTGCAGCTGCGTAATGGTGAGTTTCCTAGTTTGTGGGCCAGGTCATTTGGAGAATTCGTCCTGAGCTGAATTGGTGTTTGCCTTGGACTTAATTCTGTCGCATTCTCTTCGTATTTTACCTGGGTTGTTTCATATAGAGGTATCGTTCAATGTTTAAGGTAGTGCTTGAACTCTACAGTCTCATGGGCGATTCCTTAGCCCGGGAAGAGTTAAGGAATCAGGGTTGAAGATTCCGTTTTTTTGGGTCTATACACGTTTTGAGCCTCGAATGTGAATTAGGTTTGAGAATGTGCGCAGAGGGTTTTCAATGTATGTAGTGATGATACTTGAAAGCTAGTATAAAACTAATGTTATTCTACACAATGGGATGCATTCTGAGTTACTTGGGATTATGTCTGTCGTTGAGGTATCTTCCCCTATCCTGTATTTTGCGCAATATTAATGTTCGACGTGCATCAGAATTCATCAATATCGCATGCGTCGGTGACTTGTTTTCTTCACCGATTGATGGACACTGTTTTTAGTTCACCTCTTTTTCTGAGCAAAAGTGAACGATCCTAAAGAATCAAAGTTTAATTCCGTCTCCGCAGGCGCATCTTTTGACGTGATGGGTTTGGGAATCAGCAATGGTTCCAAGTGGTTTGCGATGAGACATGGCCGCAAAATCCACCGCCTCGGCAGGCCTGCCGATCAGCGTCGCGCTCTTCTCAGAGGTTTAACCACCGAAATCCTCCGCCACGGTAGGATTAAAACCACCCGTGCTCGCGCCACCGCCATGCGCAAGTACGTAGACCACATGATCACTCTTGCCAAGGGAGGCTCTCCTCACCAGAGAAGACAAGCCCTAGGATTCCTCTACGATAAGCAATTAGTGCACTCACTGTTCGCCGAAGTGCCGGAGAGGTACGGGGAGAGAAACGGTGGATACACAAGGATCATTCGGACTATGCCGCGCAAGGGCGACAATGCTCCGATGGCATTCATTGAGCTTGTTTAGGTATTTCCTCCTTAGTTAGCCCAATTTTACTTTGCATCGAAGTTTACGTATTCTAAAAGACCTAGAATTGACACTTCTCTTCGATGGTAGTGTGGATGACTATCCATTGTAGAATGTCCTGATTTCTCAAGCTCTTTACAAAAGAACTCTTGCCTCTCATTGCATGCTCTCTCGCTCTCTCTCTCGTGCTCTCTATTCTTCCTGAGTTTACAGCAGCTTTACTTGCAGGTTTGAGAGGTGCATACTCTATGGCTAGATGTGGCCGTTTATTGTGTCTGGTCCTGTGTACATGAGTCGTTATTTTGTTCATGCTTTCCCCTGCTCTTCTGAAAGGCTGCAGAATTCTATGGTTTGTCACCCAAGTCCTGCAAAGTGGGTTGAGAATCTTTTGCTCAGGTTCGCGTTGTTGCTGTTTGTGTGAGTGGATACTTTGATGTCGTGAAGTCGATGTGGAAGTGCTTCTGAAGTTAGTGGTGGACAGATTGCTCTTCTCTCCAACAGTGCTCAGGATGTGGGAGTTCTGGACATTTAAGTGCCACAATTGACTAACCTGGGTTGTTGTAATGTGATTCAGTAGTAAGTGAATGTTTCACTATGTGCTTCAATCGGTTCTCTCTATCTGCTGTGTGGATGGAGTGTTTAGATCGGCTACGATTGCATATTCATACGTTTCTTTTCTACAAGTTGCTTGCAGTTCAAAATTTGTGCCAATATAATACTTGTAATGATGTTTGGTATTTTTATTGGTTAATGATTTTAAATTACATATTCGGATTCCAACATAGATCAAAACAGTGGAAGTACTGATCTTACTAACTTGAAAGTAGCTAGAAAGGACTGTACTCTTGCAACATTCTTTGATGAAAACAACCAGTCTTTTCAAAATCCATAAATTTTTAAGATTTTGATTCTAAAGTTCTAAACCAAGTCAAACAAATAATGTGGTGTACACCTTTTTGGACAATGAAAGGACACTAAACACACTGGAGCCTCATGTTAGATGTGCGTATATTGTTTTATGTAATAACTTCATGAACGATGTAGAAATTTTTAAATCCTCAAGCTCTGTAGAAAGCACAGTGTATTGAGTGAGGCTTACAATGCAATAAAAGACATTAGGAAGAGGAAGAATATTCATGTGATAACAGAAAGACATATATGGTGATGGATTGAAAGGCGATGCAGTTTAGCATATGTATGCAACAAACGAGCGAAGGGGGCAGATACAAATATCGAGATCCAAGGGAGCCTTGGCAGTGCTAACATAACAGCAATGGAATCAATACCACATGATGCTGATGATGATCACATCTCTCACTCACTCACTCACTTACTTACAGGTGTGTGTGAATGCGGGTGGAAGCATCGGTGTTGCTGCGCCTCCTCCTCCTCCTGGTGAGTCTGTGTGTCTGTGTGTCTTGTGGCGTTGACAGCTTCCTTCCTTCCTTCCTTCCGAGATCCCCCCCCCCCTCGCCCTACGCCGGGTTCCCCTCCCTCTCTAACCCTACCTGCTCTGCCTGCTCTGCTCTGCCCTACTCGTCTTTGTTCTCCTGCGCTGCTTGCCCTTCCTTCCTTTTCCCCGCCCCCTCCTCCTCTACCTTCTCCTCCTGCTCCTTCTTCTTCTTCTTCATTCCTGTCGTGACTCTACTTCGCCACCCCTTCCTCCCTTCCTTCCCTTCTCCATGCCATGCCTGCAATCTAACGAACGCATCACTGCCATCTCCACCACCACCACCACCTCACTTGCACTCACTGGAACCTACCTGCCCCCCTTCCCTCCCTCGCCTTTCGTTTCTCTGCCTGCCTGCCTGACTGCCTGCCTGCCTCCCTCCCTCCCAGGTATGTATGTATGCATGCATGCATGTGTGCTCGTCTCACCCTTTCTTCTCATCTCTTGCTCTTGCTCTTTCGATCTTTGTTTCTGCACAGTGCTCCCTCCGCCCTCTAGTGCGCTGAACCGGATCTCACAATTCCCTTCAAAACATGCTTTCTAATTCCTTATATTCCTCGTGTGTTGACTCCTTTACACTCCTCCACTTGCCTGATTTCATGGCGTCCTGGGGATCTCTTGGCAGCTCCGGGTTGGTGTGCCCCCCGCGCAGCCACTTAATTCGGACCTAATTATCTTATCCATGTCGCCCTCCCTCGCTCGCCACTTCCCCAATTCGTTCACACTTCAGGTCCCGGACTGACGGTTGTCTTGCGTCATCAGCAATTCCGTCGGCAGAGCTGGGTAGGTGGATCCCGCTGGTGTCACGAGCGGCAATCGAGGGGAGCAGGAAGAGGAGGAGGGCTATGGAGGTTGAGTGTTGGAAACGGTTCGGATCGTTGCGCCGGTGCGGAGAAGGGAGAGGTGTGGGGTGTGGTTGAGTTGGCCTTGGATGCTGGGCTCTTCCATTCCCGAAGGCAGGGTCGAGATGTTGTCTAATCTCGGTGATGGTTGTTTCGTTAGGGATGTGATGCCGGCAGTAGATTTCGGTGTTGGAGCGCCTGCAGGGATGGGTTGGTTTGAGAGTTGTAGGCAGAGCGGGGTAAGGGTTCAGCGGAGGTGGAGGCGGGTTTCTAGTCGCGTGTAATCTTGATAGAATCGGTCCGTTGTGTGATATATTTCCTTTGGATGGAGGCTGTTGCTTGGAGGGTATACGTGTTATTTCGTTGAAAGCCAGTTTTGGAGGTTTTGGACAATTTCTAGAGAAGAATTTGAACCAATTTGATCGCGAGGTTTTATAGAAAGAACGGTCCCAATTATTAGGTCCAACTTTGCAAATGCATCTTCTTAGGTCCAGTTGAAACTTAAGTTACCGTAGGCTGATATGTTATGACGTCAGCACTTCGTTTCTAGTAAGGAGGGTCTGCATGCAATTTTGTTTTATTTTTTACGAATGTATTTTTTTTTTTTTTTTTTTTTAAATTGGGAACGAGGGTCTATCGACCTGTACCGTGTCACTTTCGTTGCTGTGGGTAGCTGTATGTTTGTCAACTACATACTTACCTAGCAGTCACAGATCATTTCAGGTTATCCCTGCATCATTCTATTTGGAAAAGCTAACATGGATTCTTGCTGCCGACAGTCTCCTTTCTGGTTTGGAGCAATTTAAGGTTTTCTGAGTCATTGAGGTTCTGAGCTGGTGATATTAAATCTTAATCTTTTGTGAGGTAGGAGCTCAATTCAGCAAGAACTGCCTATCGTGCTTGATATGTAGTTCAACTGGTGCACCTTCCTCCCCATATTTATCGAAACAATTATGTAGTTTGTTTGGGATAATACGAGAAAATTAACTTAGTTAACCGTTTAACTATTTACACCATGAAGTTTTCAAGCCTTATGTTTTGGAATGGAATGGGTATGCCAACACATTACATACTTGGGGGACGTAGTGACATGATGGGTGTTATTGTAGTGAGATTCAAGTTCTCTTCTTTGAGTATGATTTCTTCTTGAGCACCTTGGTTACATTTTGTATATTTTGTAGAGACACTTAGGATACGCGAAAGAATTATGTATTTAGGAATGCATTAATTAAAAGCATTGCTTTGAAATTGTCATATTTAATAATAATTACTAGTCTTTTGCATTGCTATTAAATTATTATTATTTATTTTTCATTGTGAATAATGATATTGTTGTGGTGTTTTGGTCTATCAATTTTTTTTGTTTATTATGTGTGTAGTTGAAGTTGACAACATATTGCTTTTTAAAAATGCTTAAACAATTTGTTGTCAATTACATTAATGGTGTTATATTTTGTGTAGGATTTGTGGTCTTATTTTATAAGAACCGATTGGACTTGAACACATTTACTTCCAGACTTGAACACATTTACTTTTGCACATTTACTTCTATAGGTGAGTAGATATGTATACCATTTGTTGTGATTATTTAATAGATAATCAATAATGCATTTTTGTTACTTCAAAGATAAGTAACTGTGATTATTTAAGATTGATGGTTTAGCTTTAAAATTATAGATTCAATTTGAAGGATAGAAAATTATATGGATTGTGGGGCAATGTGGTTAAAAGAGTGTTTGATAAATATTCTTGAAATATTGAATAAATCTAATATGTAATTTTCAATAGATTGTGAGAAGGTGAAATTGGATATTTTATATTTATTCATCATGGAATATCTTTTTGAATTATTCAAGTAATATATGAAAATGATTTGAAGCTTTTTACATGGTTTAGTCATGTCAAGATCTTCAAGCACCATGAAAAAACATGACAAAATATCAAGTATACAAGATATTTTTGGAGATACTTTGAAAAGATCTAAAGTCTACATTAGAACTTTTAAGGTTTTATTAAACAAAAATAATTTAGTGAATAGAAACCAATGTACACATTTGTGTAAGAAAATTGAACATGTTGCAAAGGCTTTTGACCACCTAATGACTTGTACCAATGGTGCATTGGAGTTTGGACTTTTATTGAATGAGTTCTTTTTCATCTTAAATAAATCTTATTTTCTAGTAGAAAGTTGTGGAAAATCAAATTGGTGTGAAGAAGCCATCTTCCAATTGAATAATAAAGAGACTTTCAGGGAATTACTTTTAGATTTAAACTATTGGTGTGATATAGTAAGTGAAATGCTTTTAAAGTATTATCCCAACAAATTTGAAGACATTACATTTGCTACTTTTGATGTTGCAACTTATGATGAAGTACAAGGTGATGTTCAATTTCTACATGAGAGGTTGATTGAAGCAAGTGAAGAAGAAGATTTTGAATATTGTGGACTAGCAAAGCATCTACTACAAAGATTAGAAGATCTACTTTGTATAGAAGATGAGAAATGGGATGATTTCAAACCATCTTCAAACATAAAGACTATTGAAATCTTAAAATGCATAACTGGTAGAAGTTATGGGACAATTTATGAATCAAAGTGGTTGGGAGTTTTGTGTGCAATCAAAAAGATGGATGTTGCACTTAACAAGTTTTTTAAGAGAGAAGTGACTATTTTAGCCAATTTATGCCATCCTAACTTTGCATTATATATTACTTTGCAATGAAAGGTAATGCCAATGAAAGTGGTGAATCTTCCAAGATAGTAGTTAAAGAAGACTATTTGTATATATGAATGGAATTGATGCAAACAAATTTAAATGACATGTTGGAAAAAGAAGAGCAATTATCTTACATTTTTCTTATTGATGTTATATATCAAATTGCAAAAGGAATGTTTTACTTGCATGATATGCACATTGCACATTGTGAGCTAAAACCTCAAAATATTTTGGTTAATGTTATAAAGACAAAAATTATGAATAAGATTGTTCAACATGCTTTTGTTAAAGTGATAGATTTTAGAATATCTAAGATTGAAGTTGGAAGCAATCCAAAAACTACAAAGAATAAATTTCCTTATGGTACTGTTGCATATATGGCTCCCGAAGTATTGAAAAGCAAGTTTGAAACAATAACAATGTGTCCTTTTGAAGCAGATGTTTATTCATTTGCAATGGTCTGTTCTAAGATTCTTTCAAAAAAAGATCCATTTGATGGTGTTTATGGAATGAAAGAGATATTAGAAAGAATTGAAAAAGATGAAAGACCAAACTTACTTTCAAATTGTGATGATTTGATTGAGCTCATCCAAGAGTGTTGGAGGTTGAATCCTTTAGATCAACCAAAGTTTGCAAATATTTGTGAAAGATTGAACTTGTTAAAGAAAAAGTTTTTAATTGGAATTGAAGCGGCAAATGCACCATATTTTGGAGTATCAAATAAGAAATGTTATCAAATCACAAGATTTCAGCAAATACATAATAGATTGCCATTGGTAAGACTTGTACTATAAACTAAGTATGTACAAATTGAATGTATTGATTGTATTTTATATTTGTACATATTCTCCTATGCTTTAATGATGTTGAGATGCCTTTGTATGAGCTCAAGTTAGTATGACTAGGTTGAAATATAGTGTATGCATCATTCCAATTTTTTTGTTAATTTGTGGTTAAATTTTCTACTTGTAGGTTGATTTACCTGAAGAAGAAATATTTGGTAGAACACAATATTCATCACAAATAAGAAAATTATGTGCAAATAAAGTGAAGGTATTGTATCTTATTGGAATGGGTGGAATAGGCAAGACCACAATAGCAAAGGCTATATTGAATGATGTAAAAGACATATACAATGCTTCATGCTTTGTTGAGTGCATTGAAAGTAGTAGTGATTCCTATACAACTTATTGCAATATCTTAGAACAATTTAAAGTCAAAGAAAAACCAATGGATGTAAAAAAAGCTCATAAAATGCTAAAAGCATTCTTAATACAAAACAAAACCATCTTGGTCTTTGACAATGTTAAGGATCAAAGTCAAATTGAAGATGTTGTGCCCATGGATGACATACTTGCTAGCAATGGTAGCACATTGATTGCAACAACTCGAAATTCAAAAGCAATAAAGCATTGTGGTAAAAAAGTTTGTGAAATAAATATTAAAGAACTTGATGAAGAAACAAGTACGAAGTTATTTATCACTCATTCTTGTGGCCAAGAAAATCTACCCAATGAACTAGTTGAGGTTGGCAAAGAAATTGTAAGAGCTTGTAATGGCCTACCATTGAGTCTAAGAGTTATGGGAGCATTTTTAAGAGATAAGAAGAGACTAAGATGTTGGGAGTGAGCTTTACAAAAGTTGAAAAAGAGACAAGAGTTGGATGGAGATGAAAACAATAGTAACTACAAGATTTGGAAGATATTAAGAGTAAGCTTTGACAATTTAAAAGTTGATGAGAAGAAAATATTTTTGGACATATGTTGTTTCTTTTGTAATGATGTGTATCCACAAGGCATGTCAAAAGAAAGAGCATTGCGATTATGGGTCAATAATCAAGAAAACATATTAGAACATGATGTGGAATATATATTAAGTACATTGATTTACAAATAATTGATAAAAGTAGACAAAGATGAAATTATAAGAGTACATGATCAATTACGAGATATAGATAGGAACATTGTTGAAAAAGAAATGAAATATAAATATACAAGAATATAAAACTTAAATGTAGATTCATTTTATGGATTTTCAAACAAGGTAATTTTACTAGACTATTATCTAAATAGCATGTAGAAAATTAAAAATAATAAGAAATAATTATTTTAATAAAGTTTGGAATTTATGTTTGTATATTATGTAATTTTTATTGTATTTTTTAGACATGTAATTTTTATTGTTTTTTTTAAAAATAAAAATTATATGATATATAAACATAAATTATTAATATAAAGTTATTATATTAAAATATGAATCTTTTGTTTTTATTAGATTTATGTATATATTAAGTGTATCATTAATTTCAAAATTCTAATATTTTTATGTATTTAATTATATTGATTTGTAGTTGGAGGGATTATTTTACAACTTACATAACAATAGTATTGGCAAAGTAAGAAGTGCTTCTTTTTCATCGCTTCAATTTTTAAGTTGTAATATTGGTGTTTTTGCACCCAAAATTGTGATAAGGGTACTAAGCATAATTTTTGTATTAGTTAAGCATTCTCTTTGTTTAAGAGGTTTTCTACTAGACATGTCATTGGGATATGAATTAAAAGAAGAAGCTAATAAAGCATTACAAATGCTACATGACAAAGATGTTTGGAAGAAGTTTGAAAGTTTAAATGTCTTGCAATTGAGAAATTATTATTTTATAGAAACATTTCCAAATTCGTTTTTTAAAATTGCTACATTATTGGAACTTGATTTAGAAGGATGCTCTAACTTAACCATGCTACCAAATGAATTGGAGTATATGACTTCTTTGAAGATGTTTAATTTGAATGGTTGTGTAAAATTAAGAACATTATCAAAATCAATAGGAAGTCTTCTTGTTTTAAAAGAACTTAGTATTAGGTATTGCAAAAGCTTGATATCATTGCCAAATAAATTGGGCAATCTCACATCTTTGACTACTTTAAATATGTCGGGATGTTCAAGCTTGTCATCATTGCCAAATAAATTGGGCAATCTTACATCTTTGACTACCTTAAATATGAAAGGATGCTCAAGCTTGACATCATTGCCAAATGAATTGGGCAACCTCACATCTTTGACTACCTTAAATATGAAAAGGTGCTCAAGATTGATATCATTGCCAAATGAATTAGGCAACCTCACGTCTTTGACTACCTTAAAAATGGAGTCATGCTCAAGATTGATATCATTGCCAAATGAATTAGGAAACCTGACATCTTTGACTACTTTAAATATGTCAGGGTGCTTAAGCTTGACATCATTGCCAAATAAAATGGACAACCTCACATCTTTGACAACCTTATATATTTGGAAGTGCTCAAGCTTGATATCATTGCCAAATGAACTAGGCAACCTCACATATTTGACTACCCTATATATGGGAAGGTGCTCAAGCTTGAAACTGTTACCAAATGAATTGGGCAACTTCATATCTTTGACTACCTTTGATATAAGTTGGTGCTCAAGCTTGAAATTATTGACAAATGAATTAGGCAATCTTAGAGCTTTGACTACCCTTAAATATAAATAGGTGCTGGAACTTGACATCATTGTCAAATGAATTGGACAACATTACAACCTTGATTATCTTAAATATGTGGGGGTGCTAAAGCTTGACATCATTGCCAAATAAATTAAGCAACCTAAAATCTTTGACTACCTTGGATATGGACGGGTGTTTAAGGTTGACATCATTGCCAAATGAATTAGGCAATCTCACATCTTTGACTACCTTAAATATGAAAGAATGCTCAAGCTTGATATTATTGCCAAATGAATTGGGCAACCTCATATCTTTGACTACTTTAAATATGTCGAGATGTTCAAGCTTGTTATCATTGCCAAATAAACTGGATAATCTCACATCTTTGACTACCTTAAATATGAAAGAATGCTCAATCTTGACATCATTATCAAATGAATTAGGCAACTTCACATCTTTGACTACCTTAAAAATGGGATCGTGCTCAAGATTGACATCATTGCCAAATGAATTGGGCAACCTCACATCTTTGACTACATAAAATATAAAAGAGTGCTCAAGTTTGATATCATTACTAAATAAATTGGACAACTTCACATCTTTAACTACCTTAAATATAAAAGGGTGCTCAAGCTTGACATCATTGCCAAATGAATTGGACAACCTCATATCTTTGACTACCTTGGATATGGATGGATGCTCAAGCTTGACATCATTGCCAAATAAATTGGGCAACCTCACATCTTTGACTACTTTAAATATAGAAGATTGTTGAAACTTGACATCATTTACAAATGATTTAGGTAACCTCACATCTTTGACTACCTTATATATGGATGAGTTCGAAAGCTTGATATCATTTTTAAATGAATTAAGAAAACTTACATCTTTGAGTAACTATAACATGAAAAATTGTTCAAGCTTTATAACATTACCGAATGTGGTAGGTAATGACACATCTTTGAGTACCTTAAATATAGAAGAATGCTCAAGCTTGGCATTATTACCAAATAAATTAGGCAACCTCACATCTTTGACTACCTTGAGTATATGTAATTTTTCAAGTTTGACATTGTTGCCAAATGAACTCGGCATCCTCATATCTTTGACTATTGTGAGTATAAGTGCTTAAAGTTGACATCATTGCCAAATGAATTAGGCAACCTCATATCTTTGACTTGCTTTGATATAGAGGAGTGCCTAAGTTTGATTTTTTTATCAAATGAAATATTTAATGTATTTTTAATAAGATTCCTTTTAAAATTGGTTTAAAATCAATATATAATACACTCACAAGTTAGTGAGATTTATAATTAAGTCTAAATAAATTATTTTCAAAAAAAAATAGTATAAATGAACCAGTAATTCAAAGAAGATTAAATTTAGATCATACCAAAGAAATATAAAGAAATAAATAAATATAAACACACACTCAAATTATCTAACTTGATTATTTTTAAAATTTAATGATAAGTCTAAGATTTATAATTTATAATTTAAAAGTTGGAATTATATAGGTATTTTGTAGATTTTTTGAAACCATTTTTTTTTAATTTTGACTTATTATACCTTCCTATTTTTGAGATTGGTAATTTCAATAATATAAATTATTTGCTCTACAAGATCTTAAATTAGAAGATATAGCACCCTTGACTTTGATTTTGGAATTTCAGCTTTTGACATAATAAGAATAGGATTTTAGAATTTAGGATTATATGGATATGCTTAATGTTTTTGACATCTTTATTTTTTAATTTTGATTTGACCTATTATAAATCCCACCATTATATCTTTATTGGTGGAATAATTTAAAATAGATTTTAAATATTTATAAATATAAATACTAAGATTATAAAGTATATTTTATGATTTATATATTTGACAGAATTTAGAAGATTTAATAAATTAAAAAGGTCTTATTAAACAAAGAATCATTAAATTAGAATTTTAGTAATTTTTGGAAAAAAATATCTTAGATAATTTAGTATAATTCTCTTAATAGTGATAATTTATAATTAATTATTAAGAAAAATATCTTATTTGGTCTTTTATTTATTTTTATTATCTATAAAAAATCTTATAAATATTAGTTAATACTTAGAAATGATATAAAAAAGAAAATTTATAAGTTTTTAATCATTTATGCAAAAAATAATATTTAAATTAATATTATGGCTATAAAAAATTACTAAAGTAGAATAAAGTAGTCTTAAATCTATATTAGTTTTTAAAAAATATTATAAGAATTATTAAAAATACATTAAGAATTTTTAGAACATACTTTTAAGACTTTGGTAAAAATAATTTTTACTACTTTAGGAAGCCATAATAAAAAATTAAAATAAGATTTGAAGGCTTTGCTAAATTTTCTAGCTAATTGTATGTATTTAAATATCATGGTGAAGTCAAAAAATAAATAAAAATAAATACACATTTTATTAATAAAAATCATAGAGATTAGTAACTACTATGATAGTTGAAGAAAGAGATGTGCATGTCATGTTGTCAAAGATATGCATCATAAAAAAAACTCTATAGAAGAAATATATTCTTGTAACATTTTAAAAAAAGAAGTAAAAAAATCAAACATATATATAAGATATAAATAAGAATAATTATTATAAAATATAAAAAAAAACTAAAGGTTCATAAAATAACATTTAGGACAAGAAAGGCATCAATAAGAGTTATGAATAACTCACTCTTGCTTCCATATATATTATCAAATTAAAGAACTATATTGTAATGTTCTATTGGTCATTCATTACGTATTCAATTTACTAGGCAAGTATCTAAATTGCAAAGCAAGTTTCCAACATATGTACTATCTTGCCAACTTGTATCACTAATGACCAATACATGCAACATGTGGCGAAGTTTTTAATCTACCAATCACTAAAAAATACTCAAAAAGTCAAATCCACGTCTATGAAGCTTTTAAGAAGCTATATCATAAAATATTATCAAATTTATTATTTTTATTTTATTCTTTTTATTCATATATATATATATATATATATATATGATATTATTCTTTTTCTTTCTAGGAATGAGTTCTATAAAAAAATAATGATTAGATGTTGAAGAAGTTTAAGATGTGACAAATTGTATTTCCTACATATTTTGATCTTTGTTCTTGTTGAAGATAGTTAATATGTTATTTCAACCATTGATAGTATTTTATAGTAGAAAAATAAGATGACCTTGTTAATTAATCATTGTTAAGGCTTTTATAACTTCTTTCGAATAAATTATTTAAAATGCCATCAAAAGTCATTTCTACTTTTAATAATATCACCAAATATTGAGAGTTTATTCAAAGCTTGTGATATTAAATATACTGTATCTCATCATCTATTTAAAAAAGAATATAGTATTATTAAAAATCTTCATTTTTATTATATTTTCTTGAAAGATGTGAAATTTTAATAGCTTATATTATAACTAAATAAAAATTATTCTTAATTTAAATTTATTGATTATTGATTATTTATTTTTTAATATCATAATTATAAGAAAAAAAAATACAACACAATACAACAACAATACTAACAATGATAAAAAATAAAATATAATTTTGATTTAAAATGCTTTACTTTATAGTAAAGAATTGATTGACTTTTCATATTCATTTTAATAGATGTTGATAAAAAATATCCACCTTCTTTGTGGTATTTATAAGATTTTTAAATGGCTCTTATGTGAGTTCATTAAAATTATATTCATACTAATGTACAAGGTGTTTTAATTTATTTTAGCATCAATTTAAATCAAAGACTTTTCTATTCTAAACACTTGATTATTTTCTATTTCTAAATGGCAAGGTGGAATTTTTTTTTTTTTAATATAACTATTGTTTTATATGGCTTAAGAATGGGCACATAGAATACAAGATAGGTCATCATAAATTATCAAGGATATGAATCTTAGCAAATTAAATAATTAATATATTCTTATATTACTCAAAAATACTAAAAAATGATATAATATTAAATTAAAATAGCTATTACAAAAGACAAAAAGAATATAGATTCTTGAAACTAGATTAAAAATAAGAAAGAAATTAACAAGACTAAAGAAGGCTTCACTCTTGTTTCTATATATATATTATCTAACTAAGAGCTACATAGTAATGTTCTATAAGACCTTCAACAGGTGTTGACTTTTTTAAACACATGTCTTAACTTGCAAGGTAATTTTTTTATATGTGTGCAATATAATTAGCTTGTTTCATAAGTTATCAATATGTATGACATTTTTTTAACTTATTGACCAAGTTTTTAACCTATCAATCAACTACAAATACATATAAAATCAAAGCCACATCTATGAAGCTTTTAAAAAACTTTTCTAAAAAAATTATGGAATTAATCTATCTTTAGTTACTTTTACTTAATCATAGAGGTAATTATTAGAGTAATTATATATATCCATGATATTACCTCTCCTTTTAAAAATAAATTCCATAAGGAGAAATCATCATCTTCTATAGATCTTGTTATTCTTTATTTTGATTTCGATAGATGTCATCAATGAAAAGCATCAACCTTCTTTGCTGTATTTACAAGATTCTTGGAAAGCTCCCAAATGTATTCACTAATAATATATCTATGCCAATGAAGAAGATATTTCAACTTATTTTAGCACCACCTTGAATCTAAGACTTCTTCTATTTTAAATTCTTGATTATTATCCATTTCTATAGAAAGAGGTGGCATTTGTCTTCTCCCCGAAATATTTACTATCTTATATAGCTCAAAAAGAGATACATAGAATATAAGATGGATTTTTATAGACTCCAATAGATGTAATTGACGAACAATTGGTATAATCAATATACAACTAGATTGATCTATTCATAAATAAAAAATAATAAAAATTTAACAATCTACCTTATCATGAGGGCAAATAGTCTTAATATTATAACAAAATAATCATCCCTTGTTATCAATGTAAAATTAAAGTTATTTCTTGTAATAAATATTTTTTGTTATTCTTAATTTTTTTTTAATTATGCTTTTTATTATTGCATCTAACTCTAATAAATAAAAAATCAAATCTTTTGCAATAAGATTATCAATTCTTAAAAAGTTAAAATATCAAATTCTAGATGATAATTATAGTTGGCATAAAAAGGTGATTATTTAATAAAAGAATGTACCATGTTACCATAGAAAAGCTTTATCAATGGCAAAAGACTTGTCTAATCATCTTAATAATGGTTAATGAAACATTTTAAATATTTCTTCAAAATTTGATTTACTTATTTTATTTTTCTATCAATTTGAAAATAAGAAGCCAAAGTTAGTTTTATATTTATATTCAATATTTTTAAAATAATTTTCCAAAATTTAGATATATATTAAGTCTTTTTATTTAATATAATATCTTTTAGTAATCCATAATAACAATAGATGTTTTTTTAAAAAAAATAATTATTCTTTTACTTATGATAGTTTTTATACATAGTACAAAATATGCCATTTAATAAAGCAATCTAAAGTTACAAATATAGAATCATAAAAGCTTAAAATTAAAAGATCAATAAAAAAAAATCTATAGAAACATAAGACCATGGTTATTTTAATATAAATAATAGTTAAAAAAGTCTATAAGATTGATAATAAAGAATTTTTTATTTTAAACAAATATCACATGATTTTTCCACTTTTTTAATTACCTTCTACATTTGAGTCTACTAAAAATTTCTTAAAATTATTTCTAAGGTCTTTTTTTTTTATCCAAAATGTCATATAGTTGATTAATTGCAATGAGCTTGAAGAGAACATAATCATGATTTATCTTATGGAATATATAAGCATCCTTTTAAATAATATAAATTGTTATTGAATTCAAATATAGAAGAATTATGAGATTTAAAAGAGTTATTCTTAATATCATAAACAAGAAGTTCTAAAGATATATTTTATTTACCTTGATTAAAAAAGATTGAATCAATAATTAATGTTTATTTTGTTGCTCAAAGATAAAAAAATTTTGACTTGAAAATAATTTTTTATTATTAATTAAAGGCTACATCTTCTTTTTTTGATGCAAGATAAGAATGTGTAAAAAACTTGTTGTTTTTTACTTGATAAGACATATTAATTTTTTTCTAAAAAAAAATATGCTTTAATGAGCTTAATAATAATTTAAAATAAGTACTATAATAAAATACTTTAGATTCTTATGATTTGAATAGACAATCACAAGTCTAAAAGTACCTTCTAAATAACTACATTATTTTTTAAATGAATCCATAATTGCAAAAAAAAAAAGAAAAAAAAAAGAAAAAAAAAATTATTGTAGATTTTTTAATTGATTTTAGCTCCTAAAAATTATCTTAAATAAAAAGCTATTAGGTGAAGTTTTTTTATTTACTTCTACTTGTCAGAATATTGCATCTAAGGCCAT